TTTTTTAATAATTAAGAATACTAAAAGAAAATAACAATATTCTTTATTATCTCATCTGCGGTTTCCTTATTTCGCCTATTATAACGTAAATTCGCTTGTCGTAACCAATTGCTTACTACCACTTCATATTCTTTATCAGTTAAATGGAAGCTCTTCCTAACTGCCACTAAAATGTATGTTTAAATTAGAATTCGGTCATGGAAAAAGTTTTAAACTCCTCCTTAACCAACGCGATTTATTCGCTGTAACGGCGATTGTTTCGCATGACGTTGTCGCCAGGTCAACACGGAGCCGCGGCAAATGAACATACCCAGACCGACGCGAAAGTATCGCTACACCCACGGTTTTTGTCGTTGTCACCTGTTCACATGTTCATTTGCCGCCGTGTCGACTTGGCGACAACATTATCAAGCGTAAACAATCGCCGTCGCAGCGAATACATCGCGTTAGTTAAGGAATAACTTTATGTCAATATAATATTCTTCGGTTAAAGTCAATCACAAGATTTAAGTCACAATTTTAAACAACAATGTTTTTAGATAAATTTAAAAATAACTAAACCTAGTGGTGATATATAAAAAAACTTATACGAAACTTACCTGCGCCATTCTAAACCAATATTCGAGCCACAGAACAGATATATAGAAAACGATTCGAAGGAACTGAGAACAGAACTGAACAGAACAAAACACACAATAGAACAAGTCGTGACAAGACGCTGATGAGTCACCGCGTCCTGGAACATGCGCATACGTTCACAGGCGCTGATGAAGATATTCAGACATGTTTCAGACACATTTGTAGAGAAATGTTTCAAATGAAATGTTTCTGCTACATATTTTAATGATATTTCATAAATATTCCTACTGAAATGTATTTGATACATGTCTTTAGATACATTTTCGTAACAATCGTATCTGTCACGTATATGAAACGTAGTTGTAAAATGTTTCATTTAATTAATTGTACGTTAAAATTGAAATGTTTCACAGATGTTTCTTGTTTACTGGGTCATAAGTTAGTTGACGCTGGATGGTTGTCGATGGGGAACAGAAGAGTGCTTCAGACATTGGTGGTTTATCATAAACTAATATTGAGTAAGACTCCAAGTTATTTATATAGGAAGATTAATTTTAGAAGTAACGTTCATAATCGATTGACTAGGTTTATTTCCTTTATTTCTCCACCTGTCCATCGCACGGGTTTGTTTGAGAGATCTTTCTCATATCATGTTTACAAATCCTATAATCTTATTTCGATGGCTGATAGGAAGTTAAGTGTATCGACGTTCAGGTCTCGGTTATTTGAAAGATTATTCAGATGCTTCTCTGTTGCAAGGGGTCCCGATATCGAGTTGCGTTGCGCATGTCACGGAATCGAGTTTAGTTAATTAGTTTATTATTTACAACTAATTTAATAATTTTTTTTTGTGTTTTGTGTTTGTTACGTCTTCAATTATTAATGTTTAATACCTCTTTTTGTTATCGAGGTCCAGATGGAACAACAGGATTTTATTTTCCTGAATCTGCGCCTCGTGAATTGCTTGCCGCACTATGCTACAATAGCTCTCTTTTGTTTAGATAGTTTTCTTTTGTTTAGATAGTTTTATTTTGTGTCTTTTTTTTTTCTTTCGAATCATTTATTGTTTTTATTTTTGGTTATATTATCTTGCTATATTATATTGTTTTATTTCTGTAATTGCTGTGTGGTTTGGCAATAAAGTCTATTATTATTATTATTATTATTAAGACAGCCTTGTGAATACATGTCCTAACCGCTACAATCTTCAACACTGTGTTTAACGGAATAAACAAAGATATAAATTTTGATTTGATGGCCACCAATACACCACCACCCAATGAATCATAAACACGATCAACTATAAACACATTATATCGTGAATCCAATAGGTCAGCATCACAAATGGACGCATTTAACCATATTTCAGTGAGACAAACAACTGAAAAATCACAACTGAGCACGTTTAACAAAAAAGTGGTCGTCTTAGTTCTTAATCCTCGCACTTTCTGACAATAAATTGTAAGTTCGTTCAACAAATCAATATTATAACGAAATTAAATTTATAAAAGATAATAAACATGAAATTAAAGTAACAACAAAAAAATATATAAACAAGAAATATCAAAAATACGCCATAGTAGTCGGTTTGATCTTCCTGTTGCCATTATCTTTTTCATAACGAAACTCTGCCACGTTATCCTGCGCCTTCCTTTCTATCTTGTGCCTTGTGGGTTTCAGTCTAATGAGTCTAATGCTGTCCTAGCAATATTTTCAGATTCCCTTTGTAGCGGATTTCCCAATCCAGTTCCATTTCCTCTGACGGATTTCTTAACTGAGTGCGGGTTGCTTTGAGAGTCCCCTTGTTTGACAAACCTCCTTGTTTCTTTTTCGTTCTGATTTGATTTTTAATAATTTTCTGAGGCATCTGTTGGTGAACACTTGCAGTTTCGCGTCCATACAATAGAACCGATTTTAAGTTCCTGTAATGTACTCTGATTTTGTTGTTTCTTCTTAGATGCGGGCTGTTCCATACGTCTCTCAGCACTGCAAAGGCTCCTTTGGCTTTACACTGCCTACATAAGTGTACCGTGTATCTATTATGAACCTTCGTTGGTTGTTCTTGAGTCTTAGCTCTGTTCAATCAGTTTCTCTAAGCTCGCTTGCATATCACTGAAAGTATGCGCTACCACGCATCTGTCATTTGCATCATCTAGGTCTAGTAATTATTGGTGTTATCATGTTTTCATAGTTCAGCCTAGTGCTATGTTAAAGAGTAATGGGGACAGGGGTCATCCTTGTTTTACGTTTTTGAGGACAGGAAATGCTTCCATGGTTTTTTCTTTGTGTAGTGCGCAGCATTTTGCATCTTTGTAGAATTCTTTTATTAGTGCTATTCTTTTGGGTGGGATTTCGGCTTGCTCTAACAAGTTTATGAACACTATATACATTGTAGCTCTCCATTCCATGCATTGCTCTGCTATTATTCTTAAATTGTTGATGTGGTCGTCACGTGGCCGTTAATGAAGATGTCGATTTTGGATAGCCACTTAATGTAAGAAATGAAGAAGACTTCGTTGTCGTTGCAAGACATTCCTCTACCAAATCATCTTCATTGAGCTCGTGAATGAGGTTTACTTTATAGGGATGACACAGCCAAAATCGTGTTTTGTTGAACCTCCCCTGAGACATTTGGTCGACCAGACTTTGAGAGATCTCGTACATGCCCATGATTTTTAAATTTAGTCCCAACTTGGCTTACTATACTTTGGCTAATGAGTTGACAATCAGTATATGTTGCAATGCGACATCAACTACTTCTTTTTGTTTTTTCGTACAAATTTGTCATTTTAACAAACCGTTTATAATGATTTTATCGCTTATATCCCCTATTTTACGGACGAACTATATATCTTGTAAATAATTAATACATTATTTTGTAGATGTTCAATACAATAACATCAATAATCTTAGTATTGTTGTCATATTCAGCATCAAATACTCAAAAAGATTTAACATCCTGTGCTTTTATAGCTTCTTCGGGAGCTGTTATTTTAACATTAGTGTTTTTAATGATAAAGTCTTTTGATCTAGACAAAATAGTTAAAATACCTTGGCACAGAATTGAAATGGGATTTTGCGTTGTTTGGATATTATTTCTTTTAAATATGACTCCACAATTAATTTGCAACGACGGTTATGCTTATAAAGTAACAGGAGTAAGTAATAATATAAGTTACTTAAATAATTAAATTTAAATTAATAAAAATGTTTTATTTTAGATAATATTTTTACTCTCCTCAATTTTCTATGTCGCGGAAATTTTAGAATGTATCGAAGAAAACAAACAAGAAGAATCATAAAATGGTACATAAATTAATCTAAAACTAAGTTGTTCCCATGGAATTAAAATAAACTTAAAATTCAAATTCTTCTAAAATCTTTTTTATTTTATTTCTTAATCCCTTCTTTCAACAAACAGATTAATAAAACCACCCTTTCAACATATAAACCACACGCACATTCAAACAAATCGAACGTGCCCAAAAAACAAATAATTTATTCAAAAGACTTAAAGCTCTCTTTTTGGTTTTGAAATCCAGTTGGCTTATCTTCACGAACAATTGAATTTATAGGCGAGGGGATGGTGGAGGTTAGGGGATAAAGACCACAACGACGGACTACCAACTATGTTTGACACATGTAAGTGGGGTGTTTCGGAATACTAATGCACGTGACTGAACGTGGCGCTTCCACGTGTCGGGCACGTTTTTCGAAAATCACAAGGAAATCACCCCCCGGGTAATACGACGTATGGTTCGGAACGATTTTGAAACGCTATGACAATCGAAATTTGTCGTAAAATAGGGGTGGAGGATGTAACGATTGCGTAACGCCTATAAAATGAGGTACAATTAATTTTTGTTTCTAAAAGATAGGTATTTAAAGATATAATTAAAAAAGGGATGCATCAAAATTGTTACCTAAGAAAGATATAATCAAAAAAAAAATTGGGTTGGGTTTTTCTTTTATAATTTTCTTTTGAATTAGGGTGGTCGTAAAATCTGTTACAATTTCACGCTTTTTGAATCGTGCAGGGGTTGAAGGGCTCTTAAAACCAAACCGTATAGCAAATAATATGTCCAACAATGGGTGAAATGGCGATGAGTTGAGAACCGCAAATGACATCATGATTTATGGTTTTGAGTAGCCATGGGAATATTTATACAATTGGATATGTAAATAAGATAATGTGGATACTTTAAAAACTAATTAAAGATAATTTTATGCATGAGTAAAGATTTTATTTGAATCACCCTCTATAATTATAATAATTGATCACACTCTATACAAAAAATTCCAATAGGTATAAATATGTTGATTTGTTAGAAACGTTTTATAAATAGAATTTATGAAAAAAATCCTGATAACGGACTTCTGTTTTCTTTATATCCACCTAAATAACAACAGATTAGATAAGATACAGGCCTTAAAATATTAGTGATTTCGATTTCGCATCAAATCGAATCCCTATCTCATTACAAATGTGAACATTAAAAATGAAATTTAACGCAACATATTTTCGTAGTAAATCAGGCGTACTTAGTTCCGCTTTATTGGTAAGAATGAATTTATTTTAAATATTACTTTTAAGTAATTGATTTTTTTTTTCAGTTTTTATTATTAATTAGTTTTATATGTATAGTGGCAACTGGACAAAGTTCAGGAACACAAGCCGCTTTTCTAATAGCAACAATCGTAGGATTTATTGTCACGGGATTTTTTATGGCAGTTAGGTTATTTGGTTTAGATGAAACTTTCAAGTTACCATGGGTTTTTTATGAATTTATCTATGTGATTATTTGGGCAATCTTCTTTTTGGTAGTTGCAGCTTTAGCGTTAGATTTTGGAGGAAGTTATATTGCGGCAGGAGTAAGTATATATTAATCTTACAAACTGATAAAAAATTAATCAATATGCAAAATACATGTGAATCATTATGAAAATTTTTTTTAGATATTTGGTCTTTTTACTTGTTTTGTGTACATTGCAAAAATTGCTTTTATTTATATGACAGAAGTGATTAAGCAAAATGAAACACCACCTCCATATCCAACAATTTAGGTAATTCTTTGGAATAATTTTTGTAAAAAGCTACGATCTGTTCTTAAAAGAATTCTGTTTTATTAATTCATAGTATCTGAAGCTACGATGCTAATGTATTCCTTTTACCTGGGGTAACACTTTAATTTTACGAGCTGTTAAAAGAAATAAACAAAACATTTTAATATAAATTTATAACATTTTTATTTTCATCAAAACCTACATTGCTGCTAGCACTTTGTGTACCAATGCTTCGTCCTGGTAACGTCTAGCATTCTCGGAATGAAGTTCTTCAGGAGCTGCAGCAAAAACAAATCTGGTAACTTTCGCATACAATTGAGGATAACTCTGTGATTTCCTTCTTCAAAGAAATAAAACCCAATGATTTCTGTGATGACCATGATCACTTTGTTAAGGAATCTGTAAGATCTTCTGTGGCATCGACTGCGATTGCATCATCCTTCTTCTTAGAATGTCTCAATACAGTGTCAATATGCTTTTAAAAATCATTGCAACCTCAAGTTCAGGCATCACTTAACTTCTATATAGAATGTCTCAATCTATACCACAACAGATTAATAATTGTTCTTGAAGTTTGATTGAAAATCATTGCAGGATTTATTAATGAGTCAACCCAATCTAAAAAAAATGCTTCAATCATACTTAATTACTTTGCAAAATATGACCTTGTCTTGAAATGAATCACTCCATAGACTAAGAAAGTCTGAAATCATTCCAACCCTTAATCCAAGGATGTCTCAAGCATCCTTACATAACCTGGTTTCAATCTCATCAGCTTATCTTAATCTTGAATTCTAGTAAGTCTCAATAAAATGATGTCATTCAAACTTCGTCTCAAACTGAACGGTTTCAAAGGATCATTCTCAACACATAAATGTTTAAATCGAACCTTATTATATAGAATTTTTCGAGACAAAAATGTTGTTATTTTGAACCTCCATGATTCAACTCATAAGCCAGATGAGACCAGATCAAGACGAAGATGCTGGAGAGGCTATGTTGATGGAATGAAGGACGATAGATAGGCATATACGATAGATCTAACATCAAATATAGTAGTTATGGTGTAACGTACTTGTGTAAAGTAGTAGGTAGAATAGTTTACAGAAGTAATTAAAGATCACCACCATATTCAACAACATAGCTCTGTTATTAAAAGAATTTATTAATATCTTTAATTAAAATAAAACAATACAAAAAACAAAAATTCTTAACATTAACAAAACAATTTTTTATCAACAATTTTCTTTCATTATTGATTCATACTATCCGAAGATAACGCCAATGATGTTAATGTGCTTCTTCGTCCTGGATTAACACCTAAATTTTCCCAATTAATCCAAGATAATCTCGCTGTTAAATCTAAACAAAATAAATAACAAATTAAATCAAATTTTTACTATTACTTCAAAATTTTTCTTCCTTACCACTTGTATTCCAATTAGCTCTATCAGCTTTTATTTCGCCGCGAAGACATCGTTCCACGTAAGTTAAAGGATCACAATCAGCCGTAAGAACTTCTCTTAACAACGCAATATATGCTATTGCTAAACGAAGAGTGTCTATTTTACTTAATCGTTTTTCGTAGGGAAACGTTGGGACGTGCATTCGAAGTTCATCAAAAGCGGAGTTGATACTGCTGCACATTACAATATTGTTCAAAAAAGGTTCATTTTTGTAAATCAAATAGATTCAATTTAAACTAAACTAATCAACAATTTAAAAAAAAATCAAAATAAAAAAATGAAACCAAAAGAAATTATAATAAGCAATTTATTAAAATAAAATCGGAAAAATCACACAAAATCAACAAACTAAAATTTAAGTAAAACGAAAGAAAAAGGAAAAGCAAAGGAGTACCCGTTGGGTCCTATAGCAGACCTCAGCATCCTTTTTCGTTCTCTAATGTTGGCAGCATGTCTCTGGACTCGATATGGTGAGCTTCCATAGTAATCTTGGGTCATGGAGCTTCCAGAACATTGATTGGTGTCTTTATGGAATCATAAAAAATATGTTTAAGTTAGATTTAAAAAATTGAATTAATAAAATACCCGTTGCGTGATGTAAAGATGTTAAATAATGATGTTGAAGACTTGTACTGCTTGAAGTAGCCCTTGTTGCAAAAGCGCAACTTGGAAGTTCGGTGACTTCTTCTTCGGAAAGTTCACCAGCACTAAATCCACCAAACTGCATACTTAAAAAAAAAATTTTTTAAGTATTTTTATAAAGAATTTATGTATATGGAGTAATTGTTACTTGATCGGGGGTGATGATGAAGAATCGGGAAGCTGTCTTGAAGACATTGTCAAAATCCAACACAGATATTCCACATTTTATTAATTCAACACACGCGATGACTTTTTAAAATAGATTGATAACGAAATCCTGTGGGATTTGGTTTATATACTAGAGGGTTGGACAATATTTTTGATTTCCACAAAGACTAATTCACATAAGCTTTATTACAAAAGGGAATAGGGTTGAATTTTGCGGACAATCTGGTGGTTATCGATTACTTAACCACCAATAGAAAGGGTGTTTGCAGAAACTCGGATCCTATTGGATGATGGACTTTAAAGGGGTGTTCAACCCCACATTGGGTCTGCCGATGACAGGTTACTTATACGAAATAAATTGTGCAATCATTTGCAGATGTGGTTAAAACGAGCATAGAATTAAAGAAAAAATTTATTAATTAACACAAAAATTTTAATGTTGTTCAAAGCTGTAAGGTGGAGGATTATTTTGAATTGGAGATTCTTTCTTGGGTTGATTGATATTTGGAAACAAAACTAAGTTTGATGCAAAATTGTAGTCGATGTATATGGTCATCTGACAGTGTTGCACTTTTAACAGAAGAACATACTGCATGTCCAACATATAAAAACCACTTTTCATGCCACCATATTAGGTGATACTGGTTGATCATAACTCGTGATACTTAATGCAAAGTCACCCAGTTTGTACTCATATTTGTAGCTGTTATAGGAATTCTGCACAATCTGATTCACAGTGCAAACTCTTCAATTTCATAATTCATTTATCAATAATTTATTTTTAGTATGAATTGGTTAAAAAAAAAAATAGAATATGAACAATTTTATTTTTTTTATTTAATACTCTTCATCTTAATATCCCTGTGCTGGGTAAACTGGTGGTGGCTCATTTTGAATTTGTGCTGGATATCTTGCATATTGAGAAGTTGACTTATTATCACCGCACATACAACATTTAGTAAACTTATCAAATGCATCACTAGCATACAGCACAGAACTTAATAATCCAAAGATCTAAATAAAAAAATGATTACCACAAGAAATAACGTCGGAAAAATCTTACCATAGCAACATTATATTCCTTAAATCCAGCTATTGAAATTAATTGAATTGAAAAATGAACGTACAAATACGTCGAAATTGAATACATCCCAAATTCTAATTTAGCTAAACCACTGTTTGTATTTTGCGGGTTGTGCATTACTCTTATTATCATAATTAACACGCAAAAAATCACATTTGTTATTGATAATTGGAGGAGGGGTTGTGTTATATAATATGATCGCCATCCTAAAGAAATTATACAAATAATTATTATGTTGAAGTTCTGAAAAAAGAAATAATTATTATTAAAAAATTTTATTTTGTTTCATTACATACCAATTGAAGTACTTTTAAGCCTCCACTTAACGTTTTGAAGTAGTTAGAATTAAACCCCATAATTAATAATTAATGTTTCTTTACCCAGTACAAGAATAAAAATGGCAACGTTTTTTTTATTAATATACTTTCATTATCGCTTTTGTTATCACCTATAAAAAAAATTCTGCGAAATGTTTGCTCCTACAATCGAACAAGCAAGATTGAACGGGCGATACTCATATTAAATTATTATCTTAATAGCCAATTTAATAATGAATATTTTTAAGAAATGAATCACTTTGTTGAGGTAAAATGTTTTTATTTGAAATAAGATGTGTTAAATGTATAAAAGTTATTTTTGTTTTATTTTTTAATGTTTAGGATTTGCAACTGTAAATCCTTGAGGATAAACATGTGGTGGATTAATTTGACTCGGAGCAGGAGGAAATCTTTGATGATAAGTAGGCTCGTTATCACGTCCCACAAAATGGACAAACTTATCAAATGCATCGGCAGCATATAACATAGATAATAAATACCCGAAAACCTAAAATAATATTAGTTAATAAATAAATCAGAAACTATTTTCAAAAAGAGTATGTAAAAAGCTCACCATAGCAACATTAAATTCTAACCATCCCACTGGAATTAGTAGACTTGCAAAGCTAATATATAAATACGTTGAAACAACGAAAATTCCAAACTCTACTTTTCCTAACAAATTGTTCGCATTTCGATCATTTTGAGCCAATCTTATTATAAGGATTATTATGCCAAAAACTGCATTTGTGATTGAAAGTTGTAAGAGAGGTTGCGGTAAGTGATTATGCCAACCTGGGACTCTGCTCAAGACGAGTATCATAATAATTACAAAGTTAAATGCCTGGTAAAAATAAATAAAATAACGTGTATTTGTATATAAAACTAATTTAAAACCTTACCAGCTGAAAGGGTTTTAAAGCTCCACTTAACGTTCTGAAATAGTTGTGATTTACACCCATAATTATTGTTTTCTTTTCACTTTAGGTTAATATTTCAACCTTAAAGAAAATGAATATTTGTATTTATAGGTATATTTTCTTTATCATTTGTTTATCAGTTAGCATGAGATTATAGAATCTTTTGGGTTTAGTAGATCGGAGAAAACGTGACGCATAATGAAAAATTTCTAGATAAAGAACAAATACTTTTTAAGTTTAACGATTGTCAAAAATAACTAACATAATATTACACCATAACGAACTTATAGATTAAAATTCGTTTATATCAAAATATAAACACGACATTTTGATAAAAAGGAAATGCGGAAATTAGATTAGAAATATAGATAGAAAACATTTTCAAAAAACAAAGTGTACTAAAAAAGTTTCAAAACAGTGTATTACAAATACAAGAAAATGGGTCAGAATTGTCCATAAGCCATAATGAGTGAAAGCATTATGTGATGATGTAAAAAATGATGATGAGTGAAGTATTGATTCGAAAAGAGTCTCCATCGTAGCGTCTCGGTCGCAAGTGACCTTGGCTAAAATCTTTTACTACTGGGAATAACATAAGGTCCTATAATGGTCCTCTCCATCTTTAAGAATTAACATTGCAACCTCGAATTGTTAGAATTTACCTAACAAACAAGAATATAAGACGAAGAGCGATACAGTTCTCACTATTGTGCTTCAGCCCCAAGCGACCACGACCAATATCTTATACAACTAACAAGAACATAAACTGAGGAGGCTTGCGATCGTGGCGTTAGAATACACAACCTTAAATCTTTTGGGACTATCAAAAACATACGCTGAAGTCGCTTGCCAACATCGTTTTTTATCTTTAAGGATCTCCATTGTAGCGTTTTGATCATGGGTGACCTCCCTTAAAATCTTTTATGATTAAAACAAGAAGTTGCTAGTAGAAAAGAAATTCCCATCTGAAATTAGAAGTTATCCTCAGAATACTCCGTTTTACCAAGTAAACGGCATAAGCAACATTTACTTGATTTTTCAGGAATCAAAAAAAAAATGTCATCCCATTAAAATAGGCATTTGCCCAAATTTTAAACTACTACGATATGAGACTGTGATATGAGAATGCAGTTAAGGTTTTCTTTTACCCTTTCAAAGTACAACGTCTTCATGAGTACATCGAAGTACATCGTTTAAGATCGTTCATGATATCTCTCAACATCGTTCTTTATTTTGCAGCGTAGTTATCCTTCGGATTAGGAATAGGTGTTATAGTGTGTAAACAAGATAATTGTAATGAGTTAGAATCTCTTTTCATTGTTACATTAAATAACTACTCGCAATCTAATCCTTTTTATTGCTTGGAGGCAAAATATCTATTGCACTTCCTTTATAGCAAGGGCAAAACACAATCCATCTTGATAAAGTTACCCATAACAGTAGTGTTTGCCGGCACAATTAATTTTATCCAAGCCATAACAAATTGTATAAAATATCTGCTTCAAACAATGTATTAATGGAAGCTGGTTCATTGAATTCTGCGTTTACATAATGAATTTTTATTAAGTTACATATATGATAAACCTCAATGGTGATATTTTCGTAGAATACAGAATTCCCCCGCCTCAATATTGCTCCATTAACAATCTTAATAAAAACAAAAATAAATTAAAAACTCAAATTAGTGAAACGAACTGAATAGTAATATTAAAAATATAGAGAAGGAGTAAAGGTTAAAATAAAGGTACTTGCTTTGACCAGGAGGTTAAGGTTTGTGGTTAACTTTTATGTCTTCTGTCCTCAAGATATCTCAAGGTCAAATGCATACCAGTTGACCATCACTTCTATTTTGATATTGACGAACCTGCTTCTGGAATTTCAAGGTCAAGGTTAATAGTGTGACCTTGAGGTTCCAACAGAATATTCGTCAAACGACAAAATACCTGTTACTCAGGAGCTAAGAATAATAGGAGCAAGTATTCATTAAATGATACAGACTTAGAAAAGCTGGAGTGCATGGATTTATCCAAAATATCACTAGTGTAGAAGACAAAACCATTTGGTATTTTCGAACAGTGTTCCTAATATTTAACAAGCTGCAGAACTTTGCAGAAGAGATGGACGATGATATTTTTTTTCAAAGTTCTGGACGTGAATTGTGACTGGTTTCATTGCCAGGTTGGCCGATCTGAGGCTATTAGGTTATTTATCTATCTATTGGGCCGTTGGTTGTAAAAATTGGAGAACACTAAATAAATATTTGTCATTTTCCCAAAGTCAAAAGAAACCTTTTTGATATCTCTATTAGTTTTTATAATTTTTAGCGCTATCAGAGTTTGGAAAGTGGTTAAATTGGCTTTAAAACACTTTATTGTCTCTACATCTCTAATCCTTCTGAAAAGATTTTAGCACCCTAAATCATTTGTAGTAGTAATGTCCTAACAATCGCTAACCATCTCAATCCACCTGTGCTTATACAGTGAGCTTTTACTCACACCCGCAGTGCAAATGCAAAAAAGATAAGCCAAGCAGAATTTCATTGCAACAATTGGCTAGATACTCAGATACCTAGTATATTCTTTACAATTGCTTAATCACTAATATAATATATATAAATAGACATATATAACATCTTAGGATCAAGGAGAAGAAATTTATTATTTTTTCATAAAATCAATATTTACATTTTCTTCCTATTCATACCCAAAAATCTTTAATCCACCCTTTTCACTCTATTAATCTTGACAAATCCGAATGGTTTTTGTCACCCAAACGAATATAGGCGTAAATTGAATTTCGCAGATACAATTCCGACCCGTTAAGTACCCTTAATTGGTAAGCCACACTCCGCAAAACTACCACCAGCAAACATATTGCTCTAAACCACTCCCCATCCGAATGTAGAGGAGGCAAAAAAATCCTACAATGCACACCCTATTTAAACGGGGGAGAACTCCTGGGAACACTTCCTGTGCTATTATCACAAGTGGTTGCCATAAGCACGTGCATAACGATCTGTTTGAAATTGATTGTTTGCCTACACACTTTTAAACGTTTACGTTTCAATTCGATATGGTCGGGTAAGTACTTTTTTTTCCGTCGATTTAGGATAAAAAGATAAAAACAGCAAGTAAATAATTTTATACATTTTAGTCGATATAAACAAATTTTATACCTAAATAATTATACAATCGGAGAAATAAATATACAACTTTTATGGTACAAACAACAAAACGTAAATTTACGTTCGTAAAACAGAAATAAAAGTATCGTTTCAGAAATTGTCGCAATAAAAATCAAATTCGATTATTTCGATCGTTATGGTTTTTAATTAACTTAAAACAATTAATCAATTAACCGATTAATTAACTATTTTAATGAAAGTTTTTAACACTTTATGGCAGTGTTAGGTGCAGGTAATGTTTCAACGTAAGTTGCTGGGAAAATTCCCACAGATCCGTTACATTCTCCTAGCCACCAACCATCTTCTTGCTGACGATATACTGAAAGTATATCTCCAGGATGAAGGGCTAATTCATCAGAAAGATTTGGCGTGTATGCGTATAATGCTTTACATTGAGCTATTGGCTGAATTGGGCTTTCTTCTGTTACTTCTTCGTGTGTACTACTTCCTTGAGAAGAAAACTCATCTAGAAAAAAAATAATTAAAAAATTATCTTGTATGTTATACATTTTTTTGGAAGTATTTACCAAAATCTGAATCTGGTTGATTTGAATTTCCATCTGCTGTACCTCGATCGGTCCAATCAGGATCTTCACCATCAACACCATCAGATTTATGAGAATTACTAGATTTGGTTGATTTTTCACTAATAGGACTCGCTTCCGGTTCGCACCACTGTTCTTTGAGCCATTGGGGTACTTTAAGAACGCTTTGTTGCAAACCGGATTTATCTCTAGTTATCGTGATATGAGAAGCCAATGGGTGTCCGTTTTTTTGGCGTCCTTCAAGTTCAGCGGAAGCACTTTGAATTTTATATCGCGCGCCTTCTAAATACGTTAACATCGATTTCATCTAAAATTAAAAATAATTAGAATAAATTTTGATTAAAAATTAAAAAATTTACATGATATAATTTCTCCGAAACACTTTGATTTGAATCCTCAGCACCAAAAGTTGGAGTTTGCTTGATAGCTCTACTTAAATTCTCAAGTCCGTTTTTAGATTTCCGCTCTCTTTCGATATCTTGTCGAATCAAATGAGCCAATTTCACCAAGGCTTGTTTACGTCTTTCTTTGTTCATTGCCCACGTGATGTGTTCGCAATAAAAGTCGGGTAGGAGTTGTTCTGAGATTTGTTGGGAGCTTTGTCTAAGGCTGATGAATGTGTTTAAATCTTGGGCCGGGTCACTATTATCAAAAGGTGACTTCAACCTTTCAGAAGCCTGTTAAAATGTTATTTAAAAGGTTGTTATTAGATTTTTGAAGATGGTGGAATTGCTTACCTCAACTAGTTTTGGCCCTAAATCTATGTTATTATTTAAATATGATAAAAGAACTGTTTTTAAGCTACCCAATCGTTCGTCTTCTAATGATTGGAATATCGTGGCACCTCTTGATACTGAAGATTCCCATTCAAGCCTAAAAAAATGTCATTTTAATAATTTTTAATTAATTCAGTAATACCTCAATATAACGGATTAGTACTAGGTTTAGTGTTAGTTCTAGTGACAGATTTAGTGTAAAACTATTACTGGACTTAGAACTAGAAACATTTGGGTTAGGCTCACGTCTTTGAAGACGGCTAAACCCGAATGATTCTAGTTATAGGAATAGTATTAGTTCTAGTAACAATGCTAGTGTAAAGCTAGAACTAATACTAACGTTATGTTCTAACGAGGTTTTAATGTATAAATAAATAAATATACTTACCGTGCTCGCTCAGCGCGAACACACAATGTATAATATTCAATGTCTGCTTTTTTCACCGCATCTTCAGCTTTTCTTTTCTTTCCTTCAAGCTAAACAAATATAATTCACATTATTCCAACAACATCCTATTTTAGTGTTAACTTAAAGATTAAGAAATTAATATATAATTACTTACTTTAGCATTTTCTTTATCAGAGTTCTGTCTATGAATCTGAGCTAAATGAATCAAACTTGCACTTCTTGATAATCTGATAAATATAAAATGATTAAAAATTGTAAAGAGAATTAGTAAAATGTTTAAGGCCCAAACAAATACAAAAAGAAAAAGACGACCACAAAACAAATATTTCCCTTCTCCCAAAAATAATAACCTTTAAACAATAATAATCTCCTTTACCTCTTCTTTTTCTTTTTTTCGTAGTAATGAGCCAAACCCTCAGCAGATCCCCACTTCAAAACCCACCTATTATCCAACATAGCGTCCTGAAGTTTTTCATTCTCCCTCGCGCAAGTATGACTGTGTTTCTTACTTTTCGCTTCGGCCGCCCTCCAATCCCCTAAATTTTTCGCCGCTTTATCCACCATGCTTTCACTTTGTTTTCTTAATCGGTGTTGACTTTCAGTTAAATTTTTTAACGGTTTCGCCGCATCTTCTAAAATAGCTACTCCTAACAATCGGTGACATTCAGCTCGTGCTTCCATTTCCAACGCAACCGCTCTCCACGCTTCGTTTAATCCACCCACACCTTCTCTGCATGCTTTCACCAATTTGTTACTTAATTTCGAGAGGTTTTTTGCGTATTGAACTTCGGCTTCTGATCTTTCTTGGAGAATTGTAGCAAGTTCTTTGCAGAAATCGCCACCTTGTTTTACGTAACGACGTAAATCATCGAATCCATTTTGACCCTAAAATTAAAAATAAAAGAATTAAAAAAAACATATTTAAGATGTAAATAATGTGTTGTTGCATTCGTCGCGACAGTCGAAAGGAAATGTCTCAATAATTGGAAACTATCCAAGGTAAAGTCAAGTTTAAATACTTGAAGGTTAAAAGTGTTTTCATTTTTTCGATTTATTATTGAAAAATAATAAATATTAGGGTTAAAAAATTGTGAATGGACGAGTCACATCCGGAATACACATAATTTTCTGCAAATAACCAATTTCTATTATTCCTTAGTAAGGTTAATTTAGAAGGAAATCTTGTGGTGGTTTGTAAGAGCAGGTGAATCTTTTGTAGTTAGTTCCATTAGAGAAGGAGTTATTGCAATTTCGAGCCAGATGCTTACAATGCCCCATGAAATAAATCGCCATCCTCTACCATCTACCGGTTCTTGTACCGGTCGTTTCCAAACAGGAAATTACACTTCTTGTTCTTTTCAAATTGATTGGTGTAAAAAAAATTGTCGAAGCAATTTCCATTAAATTTTATTATATACTATGATTTTATTTTCAAATACAATACATAATATGATTTAATGACCATAAAGGTTTATTATGAATAGGTATCATTTAGATGATTTATTAAGAATCCATTCTCAAAATGACCAAATCTCTTCAAGTCAAAATATTAAAAATATATATCCAACAACTTATTGACCTATTGAGATATCAAAATTCTCATCAAGAGAAAATAAGATATAAGTTGTTTATAATGTTGTTTAGATATGATAGAAGATTTAACGCTGAATATGGGCAGATCATAGTCTAGAGAGATCATAGAATAGTGCTGAAATACTGAATCTGTCAAAAAGGAAGCTGGAAAAGGATAAAAGGTGTTACCTAAAAAAAGCTGTTATCTATGCAGTACCATATTATAATTAAGTTGTATTATATAAAAGTTGTTAAATTAGTTATCTTTATAATGGTATTATAGTTCATTACTCTTTGTGTATACATTTTACAGGTACGCTGATAATGATCCATATCTTAAAAAAATTGTTACACAATGCATGATGGGTAAAGCTTTGCTTACACCAAAATATCGCTGGCTCATATTAAACATTTACGTGAATATCTATATTCTACGTTGGACAAAACTGAATAGAATGACATGAAATTAAATACAAAATCTGAAGAAAAACTGAATAACTCGTAAGTTCATTACTTACGTATTAAGGAATCTAAAAGATTTGTTAGAGCTTGCCTAAACTTCTTTACCAAAGCATTAGATATAAGTAAAAATAGTGTTAACTTTTTATGTAAAAGATGAACGAATAAGATGTTCCTAAAAATCGTAGAAGGAGGGGAAAATTTGTCATAAATTACAAAGTATACAAGAACAATAAACCACCAAAAGCATATCACAAAGCAAGTTATGGGAAGCTACCGAAAGAACGAAAATAAATGCAACCATAATAAAGGCAGTAAGAAATTTATACCAACAGCTAAGATCAAGATGGAATAGAGTGGCTTCCACATCATTGTAGGACTCAAGTAAAAGTGATGACTATCTACGACCTTATTTAAAATATATCTAGAGTAAGCAGTAAAACAGTGGAAAAGAAAATGCAAAAACGACCAAATAGTTACCACAGGACCAGCAAGATATGGAACCTCATAGAGAAATACAGCGAATGCAAAGAGCAGCAGGTCCTTGACCTAAACGATGGAAATTGCATAGCAAGTAGAAATATTTGGGAGCACAAATAACCAGAATGCACCATAAAGGATAAAAATATACACGGTATAAGAGGCATAACTAGAAATAAGTATAAAATTTATAACGAGAGTAAAGAACATGATAACATCGAGTAGCAAAGTGTGGCCACTTAAAGGAAAAACGGAGAAAATCCTGAAAGCAACATTAATGGCGAAGAATGGTACGCAAATCGAAAATGGATAGCATCATCAACGACAGAATCCACGAGATTATGGAAATAACACTCGCCATAATAGAGGACGTAACCCAACCCAAAGGAAGAAGAAGGGAACAACTTAAAGAAAGAGAATACAAGAATTTTGGACGGACAGAGGGAAGTGTTAACTGGAAATCTGAAGATGTCAGAAGACGTTGTAAGCCAACCTATATATAAATTACTATATTGAACAATTTGGTTCTATAACTACAAGTATTGCTTAAAACTCAATATATTTTTAGATACTATTAGTCTAGATATAAACATTTTGCTGAAAATTCAAGAGCTTCTGGTAATATGCCAAGAAAATCCAAAACACTTTTAGTTTTGGATAATCCTCGAGAACACTCAGAATACTTATCTAATGATTGCAATCTATGAATCAATGATTCAAGTTTCGACAAAAAATAGACATAAATTTCAACCAAAAAGAAAGGCCATCATTGTTAGTCATACCTTTTTTTAACTAAAAAATATCTGAAATTATAATTTTATTTTTGGTTTACGCCTCATTGAATAGAAGGTAAGGTGTTAGTGCCAATAATAGAGGTGACCTTTTAAATGACTACAGGTCGAAATTAAATTAAACCTTTCCGACCAACGACCCCTTCTTCCTCGGACTTTAACCTGGATTTTATTAGCACAGATATAATTAATTGAATTACCACACAGCATTATTAAAAATCTTGTAATCGTCTAATAGCTTTTTCGACAACATCCACAAATACTAATCGTAAACGTTACATAAACGTTTACAACCATGTGGAAAACGTACAATCCCAAAAAAAGAATCACAATAAATTTAAGTAAAGTAAAAGTATAATTAAATTTAATTCGCTTTTAATACGTAACGGTTACGTTATTTTATAAACAAATTAATCTTTTTTTCTAGCAATAAAAAATAACAGCATTAAAGTTAATCTCCGCATGTGAATGACCGGAAGTAGGAAGCGAAAAGGTTTCTTTATAGATTAATAAAAATTAAATTTTAATATTGTTTACCTCATTTAGAATAACTTTACTTCGTCTAAAAGCACTCCTAATCGTATTAAAATCAAATTCTTGATTTTTATCGGTATCATTACTTCCTGCGAATTTAACTTTATCACAACTTCCTAAAGGGATAGGTTCACTAATATTCGGCGATTCTTCGTGTTGATTTAAATTAGCGAAAAATGCATCATTTTTGATCATTTGTGATGAATTATCGTTTGGATCAATATTTTCTTGGTCTCTTTTTTTAAACATCATCCCAGTTTGTTTTAAAACTTTTTTACATTTACTTTTTGAGTTCTTATACATTTCTTCGATATTATTGGCTAATTTGTCTTTGTTATCGTTTAATTGACTAGATTCTTTAAAATTTTTTACTTTCGATTTAATGTTAGTCCAAGTATCGACAGCTTTCGATTTCGGTTTTCTTAATAAAGTAACTCGTCTTAATTTAATTGGGAGTTTACTTCTTGTTTTGCAATAATCCATGTTTATCGAGTTTTCGTTGGGGTTCTCCATGATTACTTGGCTGCAAGATATGTGTTCGATGTCGATGTCTTTGGTGATCGGTTGGATTGTGTCGGGGTTGAAATCGTTCATTGATTGGGATAAGCGGTTTCTTTTTAGTGATTTTGGTACTTTGTATTCGGTTACTTCTTCTTCTTGGATGGTGTGGGAGAGATTTGGGTCGCTTCCGGATTTTATTGGGGGGCAAATTTCTTCTAAGCTTTTTCGGACGTAGGCGTCGATTTCGTCGTTGTTCGCTAGGTTTTCGATTTCTTCGAAGCTGAGCTTTTTTGGGACAAAATTTAAAATCCTTTCCCCGTCGTTTTCTTGAGGCTCCTCTTTGTTGATGTTTTGTTCGGCAAATTCCAACATTTTTAAATGATTCTCGCTGATTTTGATAGGAACGCTGTATTCTTCGGGTGTTATGTTGGATTGGGGAGTTGAAAACACTTCGTTTACGTAAGAATGGGAATCAGTTGGAGTTGATAACCCAGATGTTTTCTCATCAAGTTCCGGTATGGTTAATTCAATCTTCAATTCCGATTTATGAACCCTAACTTGATCGTAATTTCTGTTTTCGAAGAACGAAAATGAAATGCTGGGAACCTCCGCTTCGTATTTAGAATTATTTTTTAATGATATTGCGGGGGGCTCGACTTCCACGTAAAGATCTGAGTCGTATTTTATATTTTTCGAAACGTCTTCTTTACTTTTTTGGATTATCGTTCGGGCATCTTCAAAAACTTCATCCGGCTCTGTGTCCGAATCAATCGTAGTTGGAACTTCATCGCTAACCACGTAATTTTTTTCTGCCATTTGGAGATCGTAGCTCGCCGAAGACATTCGATTTTCTTTATTTGAATCATCTTTAGAGTATTTTTTGAAAATTGATGTGTTCAAATTTGGTACGGTTGTTCGCCATTGTTGTTTGGAGAATTTCGTATAAAATTTCTTCATCGTTTTTCCCACCTTTTCAAATCGTAATTGTTAGAGATTATAATTGTTGAATTGAATGTTTTGTAAATAGCTTCATTTGAATGTTATCAAATAAATGTTTAAGAATGACGGATTTAAATGGCATTTGTCAAGAAATTTTGGCTTAATTGTGCTTTTTTTGGTAATTTTTGCAAATATTTGGCATATATGGAGGTTTTATAAAAAAAAGTAATTTGAAATTGAGTAGCACTTTTCTTTTAAATTGTCGGGTTCTTATCAGCTTAAATACCTAGTGACGCAGTAAATATTTGTAGCTTCGTGCGTGTTCCAAGGGAAATAGCTTAACAATAACCTTGCCTTTAAACCCAAAGAATTTTATTTTTTTTTAATTTTGCAATAAATCAATTTTATACGAATAACAGAGATGTCAATAAAGCTTCAATTTGAGACATAAAAGAATTGTGATAACTTAACGGTCAAGTTCAAAATAATTTAAGCATAAATAGGTTGAATAAAAGTTTCGTAACAAATTGAGTAGACAAAATTAACTTTAAACTTTGCAACTTTGCAAATATTTCCTTCAGAATAATGAACACAAATATTTAATTAAAGATAGTATTGTTTGATGAGCTACTCTTTATCCAAGGAATTCGTAAAACATACAACAGATAAATCACTTTCTCCATAAAATCCACCAAAACCGACATAAATTAAAAAAATCAACAGTTTCAAGGTAGTCAAGACTCCGTAATTATTTGCGAATAACCGCATCACGTCAACAAATTAAAACGATAAGGCATTTAAATAATAATTAAAAAATTGTTTTCGTTTTCGTCATCATCAAATAAAACTATTTCAACGATTCAATACATCCAATTCAACAAAGAAATACTCAAACGAACAAAAAAAAAAGGAAAACAATAAAATTACCACTCCTATTTTACATAATACTTTTCGAACAACACACAAAAACGAAAAACCACAAATCACATTCGATTTATTTATGTATAATTCTTTTAATTTTGTAATTTTTTCTATTTATTTTCCGACCGAAGTCTTATAAACGCACGTGGTTAAACTCAAAACTGCACTGAATGTTGAGAATCCCCATCGTGGAAAATGTGTTCTTCGAGTAAAAAAAAAATAAAAATAAATTGTTCGATCGAAACACTCGGAGCTATCGCACACGACTGAACTGGACGCGGTTGGAAAGCAACAAAAAAAATCCGCGTCGGACGCGCGTTTGATTTTCCACACACACACATCCACAGGAGGTGCTCTAATCGAAACTAAAACGATGGTATCTAAAAAGCTGGGTATGCTTTCGTCTCCGTTCTACCTCCAGCAACGGCACCTTGCACTATATTAAGAATCCGCGCGTCTAAAATTAAAACACAAAAATAAAAACTCCGCGTTTTGTGTATACTTATTCCGTGTGGATGGATATAGAGAGTGAATACGCAGCCTAGCTTGGAACTTAGAAGGTGTATAATAAAGTACATGTGCGCTTCGTCAGATGCGGAACGCATGTGTACGACGATATAAAGTTAAAGTTGCTTTTAATGTAAGTGTAAGTCATCGTTACGTTGTATCATCATTGTTGAGGTTTTATGAAAGGGTTTTTGTAGTGTTTTAATGTAGTTTTTATGGAGTTGAATTGATGTAAGTTATTGAGTGGTTTAAAAAAATTAAGTACGCAATAGTGAATTCATTAATTGTGCTAAATACTTTATGAAGCATTCTTCCTTACAAGAAATCTATTTCTGACAAATTCCTTTCTGCTGTCGATGTAAGATCTACTGCACGTATTTCAATTCCAGAAATAGACGCACCCCATACAGTATTTTATCAACACGAAATAGTACATTTATACATCCCATATTTTGTGATATTCAATACATACATTCCATTTTCTCGCAAATTATCCGATATGTTGTTATTAAATGAAAGAAGGATTTCAGATTTTAAATTGAAATTAGATTTTTTGCAACCAAAATAAGAACAATATCACCCTGATAATGTATACCAGGTATACCAGTTATTGTATACCTCAGCTACAAAGATTTAGGAGAAAATAAAGAGATAGACACTAAAATCACTATTGGCCAAATTGCTGTAATGAGATTATTACATAATGTCTTCTAGACGTTTTAATACTTATTGATAGGTCTTAAAAAACCTTGCGACTTCATGATTTTCAAAGGTAAGTACACAATTTAATAGATAATAGTTTTGGTAATAACAGATCCTGAGCAAATCTTGAATTTTCCTCACTCACTTGAAAAATCGTTAAAGATATTAAACAATACAGCAATAAGCACGAATACAGCAGAATCTAGAAGATGCCAGAATAACCATAAAAAATAAATATTTTATAAAGTAATTAAAATTCTATCAATGATGATATTTTTGATAAGTATTTTAAGTAGTATATCCATTTCAAGTATGCTAGCTCTTTTTTAGATGCTGCATCAAATTTTGACATAATTAGTATTCTACTACGTTACTGCAACAATGAATATTACACCTCGTCAATACGCAGTGAAACTGAATCGCAATACACATGAGGTGGATGTAAGAAAAGTTTCCCCACAACTGGTCTTATATGATTGAGTATTGATTCTATCATTATTTTCTCGTTCAGTTTTATAAATTAATTTCCATAACGAAGCAACTCTAGCATTACATCCATAAGCATATCCATAGAGCAAGTCTTGTGGGCTTAGCAAGATGGTCATTTCTATTATATAAGTGTCCTGTCTTTGTAATAATCAATGTAGGGAATTAATTTTGCATGAAGTTAAGTTTAATGCTAGTGCAAGAAGAATTTAAAATCTTAAAACCTCAGTCTACTCTTGTAGCCCGAATTTCTCTGAAAAATCACAACGATGATATTAAATATTTTTTGATATTGGACATAATCTTATAGTTGTTTTATGTGGATCTGCACCCCAAAACTGATTTGTTTATCTTTTATTTGCTCCGAGTTACAAAGAGAGACTCAATCATATCTCAAAAGCTAAAACAGATAGAGAAAAACTTTATGCATAAAAGATATTCGTAATGAATCAGAATATTATAGTTTATAAGCTGTTTAAGTTTGGCTGATTTCATTTTGAAGGAATTAAGTCAAAATCAGCAAAAACATCAAATTTGGTAATTTTGCTTTAAAGAATCAATCATATCTCAAAAGCTAAAAGAGATGGAGGAAAATTTTATGCAGAAAATTTCTTCGTAATTAATCAGAAAATCATAATTTATAAGCTGTTTCAGTTTGGCTGATTTCATTTTGAAGGAATTAAGTCAAAATCAGTAAAAACATCAAATTTGGAAATTTTGTTTTAAAAGAGTCAATCATATTTTAAAAGTTAAAGGAGATTGGGGAAATCTTTATGCAGGAAAGATATTTGTAATGAATCAGAAAATTATAATTTATAAGCTGTTTTAGTTTGGCTGATTTCGTTTTGACGGAATAAAGTCAAACTCTGCAAAACATCAAATTTGGCAATTTTGATTTGAAGAATCAATCATATCTCAAAAGCTAAAAGAGATGGAGCAAAATTATATGCAGAAAATTTCTTCGTAATTAATCAGAAAATCATAAGGTTGCTCCCATTAGGATCAAATTAATTCCAATTTACAGCAAACCAAGTATTAAGTAATGCGTGTGATTTCATTAGTTGTTACCAATTCTATTGATAGAATCTTGTTCTTAAACCTAAGTGTGGTTTCCCGAATGTTAGAATTTTTTTCATTGATAGCATACATCCATTAATTCTAGCAACATCAACCATATAGTACAACGTAACCTTGGAGTACCAATTAGTTCTCTTTTGGGCAGAACTTTATATAGTTCGTCACAGCACCTAGCTTTACCACTAGATTTATTGCCATGTAGTTTAAACTACATTTCACTGATGAAATAAGATTTAACCCATTAGATGCTGCTGGACTACTTATTTTGCAAAGAATCATCTTGCTGCAAACATTTTGTTATCACAAAAGTGCAAAACCTCAAACTATATGTTTGCAAGTACAATAATTTTTAATGGAATGAAAGAACCTGGGTGAATCTTTTTGAATGGTTGTGTAGATTATCTATTAGTCTTACACTAATTAAAAACTATAAACTGAATAATGTAATGTTTTTTAAGTTATAGCGTCTTTAAAAACTTAAACAAATGTTGTCCATTTCTTTTGGGAAGAAGTGTTTGATAAAATTAAAATATTTTTTCAATCTATATCAGTATTATCTTTATTGTTACCGGTTTTGGTGCAATTAGCCATCGTCAACGATTTAATTTTTGAAATATCATCACCATGTAGATGAAATTAAATTTTTCTCTAAGTTCATGTTGTCCAGTCTGGAGATCGAGTATATTCAAATTAATGATATGTGTTTTTTCCTGTGTCCTTCATGTAAAAGAGATCCAGGATTTGTTCTTGATAAGCCTGGAAATTAGAACCCAAAAATTCACTTTTTTTCTAATTAACACTAAGTCTACTCATTTTAAGGAGGTTCTAGTGAGGTTGATAATTAGAACCAAATAAGATTATGTAGAACCAATACATTACATAAAACCATCATTTCTCAGCAATCTTCAAAGATATTTAGAAAAATTGTATTCATTGGAGATCAAAGGAAAATAATTTCCATTATGAAAACCAAGTTTATAAGAACTTGAATTAAATTGAGAGACCTACAAAGAGGATGTTTTAAAATTGTAGGATTTATTCTAAGACACTTAAAAAATTGCGCCTACCACGCTTAATAATGACAATTAAGAATATAATTATCTTGTTTTCTTGTTCACCTGGATTACATAAATGTTTATTATGTATACTTTAATTTTTTTTGCAACTTGACAAATCTTTTGCATTATTTAGGAAGAATCTAGTTAAAGTTGTATATATCCAGAAGGATTTAATAAGATTACAAAATTTGAACAAATTCTTTCAATTCAACCCATTCACTTTAACAACATTCTCGACAATCCCAAACAATTTCATTTTAATCCTTTTAGATTAATATTGTTTTATTCTATTTGCTTAAACAAGACGGAATGTACCACCTTTCAAAATCAATTTATACACCCATAACATTGTTTTATTACGTAACTGTACATTCGGTAAGGTCTCTTGAGACACACGCATATTTTAAAGTTATCACGATATTGCCGTGGTAACCGGCGGGCGCTAACTTAAAATGTGCACGTACATTGCAGAAATTCTAGAGCTCTTGTACCTGTAACAAGAAATTTTTGAACGAATTAATTGCAAATTAAGTCAGTTCAACGTCGAACAGTTTCCCGCTTAATAATCTTGCATAATGGGCAAGTGCCAATTATTATCCACACGTAAACCCCGTCGACAACTAACGTTCGAAGTTATTCAAATCGACAACGATTATTATTGTACAATCGATCGGTTACGTAAACGCATTTTGTTTTAAACACTATTATTATTAACAGAAAATTGTTCTATTTGGAACTTAATTTATTGTTTCATTTATCAATTGAAATCACAATGTAGGCGTTAATAAATTTTGTAACGGAGCACTATTTATAATGGTGATGATGTAATAATGCTTTTTTTTGTGGTAGGTTCAAATTTATTTTCGTCTTAAGGGACAATTTAAAAACGAGCAACAAGCGCAACGATGACAGTCATGTGCCGCTAATAGAAAGGATATCCACGTAACAGATGACGTCAAATTTATCTCGCGTTACCAGCTCCTGCTATGCAAAAAGAACAGGATGTTCTTCTTCGTATACACGAGCTGTGGCCTGGAAAAATTGGAAACAGTTGGCAGACACGTTGTTAAGTTATTCACGCGAGTATTTTCTTTCTTTAAAGAACTAAAATAAAACCATAATCAAAATGAAAAACGAATCCAATTTAAATTAATAATTGAATGATTTCTATATTTCATTGGAATGTTAATGTGTGCCCCAGAAATTCCTTCTTCATTTTCTAGAGCAAAACACAAGAGGTAAAACGCATTCTCTGTTCTCAGAACAAAAAAGGAATTGCTTTTCTCTGTTATTTTCGAGCGGTATTTCAATAGCATAAAGCTACTTTCATCTAAGCACTTAAAAGAAAGCTGTAAAAAAAACGTGGGTGTACCGCTAATTATTGTCTCCGCATGTATGGAATAATGACGTTCTAAAATGTCGACCCGTTTTGTTCATTCTCCATTTTAAAACCGAGAAACTTTAACACGAATCATTAAAGAATTACAAGAAAAGGTTTTTGTGTTTTAATTCTTTTCACTTCGTTCAGATATTTTAGTTGGTATAATGAGTAACAAAAAGAAGAAAAAAAAACATCTAAAGTGTTTTAATTTTGTGCCGACCTTCAAATAAACCTGATTTTTATAAATAATACTGTTTTTTCTTTAACACTATCGTTATTTAACCATGAACTTATTGGCATAAAGAAAAAATTAATTGAAATTTGAAGTTCAATGTTTCTTAATAAAATTAAGTACATAATTAAAATTACAATTTGTTTTTTATAAACTATAAAAG